TCGCGCCTCCTTGCCGAAGATGCTGGCGCAGTGTTGGGCATTGCCTCAACAAATGTGGCTTTCTGTGGGGAAAGAAGGAATGACGGATGAGAAATGTGAGAAAACTATGAGACGGAAGCTGAATTGCTGAAATGGACTGAAATGGACTGAAATGGTAATGATATATGATATATGATATATGATATGATATGGTATGATATGATGATATGATTTACCCTAAATATGACTTACCCTCGCGTTAATTGCCGATTCAACCTGAACACCGAAAGTCTTCATGGACACTAATCTTGCAAGGCCTATTTGGCGCCTATGTTACTTTGACGGATGGTAAGTGGGTAAAATGAATTAAAATGATACGAAGTGGAAGCTAAACAGTTGATTTAAGGAACCTTAAGCAGCTAGCTTCCAAACATACTATCAGAAAACATGACTTCACAGAACGAAAAACAACGAGTTTCAATGTTTGACTTCTTTGACTCGTTTGACCTCATTTTCCGAATTGCTGCGAAATAAACAAAACATCTTGTCTTTTTGTTTCGCCAATCTGGTCAAACATGAAACATTGTTTTCTTTAAGATCTTTAATTTAAGGTCCCAAATCTGTACAAAATTGAACGTTTATTCTGCTCCTTTGTGTTTTAGTATGTCAATTCAGTTTTCACAATCTGGTCAAATAATGTCAAATAAGACCAGGTATTCAAACAACCACTTTTCAAAATCAAAGCCACAAGAGGACCAAAGGCAACCAAAGAATAAACAAAAATGAGCTTTCAAAATGAAACGACATAGTAACATGAAAAACTGTTTTGAAATTATTCTGACCCAGGCCGCTCCAGGAACTTGCAAGGAAACAGTGATATGAAACCAGGTTGAAGGAATTGTTCTAAGGGGATTCATGCATTCAAATATTTGGATAGTTTCTTGGAATAGGGCTATCCCTGGTGGGTCTGGTTCTCAGACAGCTGAATGATTTAATGATTGCCTGTTGTCGCAAACAGCTGTGGAATTACTATGGAAATCATTGCAGCCCCAAGAAGTTCTGCTCAAGATCGAATCGCATCATGTGAGTTTGTGTGAATAAGGGAGACCAACATGTTCTTCTCAAACATACTTGTTTTGGGTTGGTCCCAATTTTGGAAGAACTGCAAATTCCATGCTCTGTGATAGAGGTTCAATTGACATCCCTCCAAGGCTGAGAACAAACCAGATTGGACCCCAGTGTGTGAAAGTAGCCTTGATCTAAATAGTATGCACAGTGGACATGCAGCATGAAGCCACCTAGATGGTCAATTATCCCACATGCAATACGAAAATCATGCGATATGAAAACATATGAAAACCATCTTAGAGAATCAGTTACATCCAATGTTATCGTTGTTTTTCCCTTTTGTTACAAATGTTATAGTTCAATACAGTAAAAGACGACAACCTATCTATCTATCTATCTTATCTAATCTGATCTAATCTTATCCAATCTATCTATCTTTCTATCTATCCATCCATCCATCTATCTATTTACGGTAACTGTTACCGTATATGTATACATTACATGTGACCTTCTTTTTCCGGTTCTGCCATATGTTCTTTTAGGACTTTGGGGTCGCACAGTCCCAAATCCCTCAAGTTGGGAAGACTCCACAGGTCGACCAAAAATGAGGTACTTTCGACCAGCATCTCATCATCGAGCTTCAAGATTCGCAGCCAACATGCAGCTTGATAGCCTGCAGCTGTAAGATTTCTGGCTGGGAATGATGTGAAGTCTGGTGCCAAAAAATCAATTGGTAAATGGGATATTCATGGGATATTTATATTTGATTGAAGGGATATTCGTGATATTAGTGGGATATATCCAAGTTGATGGGAAAAGGCTATAGCCAACCCCGTTCGTGGTGAGCCACCCCCCTCAAACAGATCTTTTCGTTTTGACCGGCACCATCACCCTATAGGTAGGATGGAACTAAAACATATTTCAGAAACACTAACCGGCCAAGTTTAGATTGAATTTGGTAAATTCAAATATTGAGACGCTGATGAACTACTTTTTTCATCCCTTGAAAATAGGGATTGCCAGCCAGATTAGACAATCGGAGATAAGCTCATAGGGGCTTTTTTTTTCTCACATTGTGAACCCCTCCGGACTTGCACCTGGAAAGCAAAACTCGGAGGTCTCAGTGGCACCAAGTAGTTGAGACAAAAAGATGGTCGTCTCCTGCTGGAAAACTCCTGAGATGCATAGGATGAACTGGTCATGTGGTCGGGATGGTGTCACACCCACTGCGCAAAGCCAAAAAAGAAACAACACAACATCCCCACATCAATCAATTGATTTAAGGGAACATTTACAGGCGCCCCTCATAACCCTCCATATTTCATGTGAAAAAAAATGATGGTTTTTCATGGTTTTTCCAGGTTTCCGGTGAAGATGTTCCCTTAAACCAATTGACCACATCCCCGGAGCCTCGAGGCTGGTGGTCCCAAGGCTGTAGCAAATCCTCCGCCATTTCCAGCAGTTCCCTGATGAGTGGAGAGGAGAGATTTTAGCGAAAAGAGAAGCTGTGATCATCCAAAACCTTGGATTACAAACATATTTTCACATATTAGCAACAAACATGACATGTTTGTTTACCCGTGAATAAGAAATGGCAGTGAATCCGAAACATGCTTCAAGGCATTTCTCTGGTCGTGTTTATCCAGGTTTTCCATAATTTCAATGGTCAGGCTGGTTGAGGTCGCTATAAACTATGCAGCAGATAAATATAGATAAGTGGTACAGTATCCGCGAGAGTCAAATTGGATTGGATCGCTCAAGACGTTTAATGTCTTGAAAATAACCAAGATTTTCATACAGCATGCCTTATGCTTGCGAGGTTGTAAGACATGTGGATGAATATGAGTCTCAACCTGCTTGAAGAATATGATTCAATTAAGCGTAGAAAAAACAACTTGAAACTACTCTGAGCACTGAGAGCTCACAGAGGCTGTTTACCGCATATTCACCATTCAGCCCAGGCAATATTCGCTGCTGCAGTGGAGAACAAAAAGCTATGAGGCATACATGGCACGCACGTGCACACATGGTTGAGCATGGTATTTCAACAGAGCCGACGCACAACACAACACATCCAATTGCGAGAAATGCTATGGGATATGCCCTCTCAAGCAACCAATCATGAGTTCTCTTCTCGCAAGCAGATGAAAAAACACTGCGGACAGCACGCTGAACCCCTTCAATCCACTCACGTCATACCTATTCAACTCAACGTTCTCATATCACACACCTAGCACTAGAGTTTCCCATCCAGCATGGAAACTTTGTGCGGTCGAGCTGCTTATCATCAGCCAAACGGTCTCCTGGTGAGATAGGTCGAAAACTGGAAGATTGGGAGTTGCGAGATTTTTTGAGGGGTGATTTGGACAATCCATGCAGCTTTAGTGCTAGCTTCTCACTATCCATGGCCTTGAAAAGCGCTACAGCTTATGTTTTCAGACAACTCCCAGTTTGAATGGGTCCAGTTGGAGATGTAAACTCGAATTGAAACTAGCTCTGCTTTTTTTGTTGTGATTTGGCCTTCCCATCTACCTACCGGCATGTGAAAATTCTAACCATAATGGAGGCCATGACAGTGACAGCAGTGATCATGCTAGTGATGACTGTGATAAAGATAATGACAACCATCATGAGGACAAGGATAAGAACAACTACAAAAAGTAATGAGGGTAAAAAGGATGTGGATGAGACAATGATGAAAATGGACAAAAAAGTGAGGACACAAACTATCGTCACGCATGATGTTGCAGGAATATGACCATGATAAGAGTGATGGTGATGGCGTTGATGATGTTGATGATGATGATGATGCTGGTGGTGATGGTGCAAAGTGCTAGTGCAACCAAATGGGACAAGTGTGGTTCCACTGTGAACCCAATGGACAAACATAAGAAATGCACCATTCGCGCAAAACACAAATGCCGCAGCCTGAACGGCGATTACCCTCCGGCAATCAAACGTGGAAACGTGGAAATTACAAATCCCCTATGGGCAATGGATGCTTTATTGGGAAAATCATCTACGAATAGGGGGTGTTCAATTGCCATGATTACCGGAGGGTAAACACAGATCTCACATTCTCTGAGATCACAACCCTGTCCCACCGCAATTGAAACGTTGGCAATAGCTCCAGTGCGATCCTGTCTCCATTCGTCTGAGTAGCCGGGAGAGGAAGCGCGACCAGCCTGGGATTGCACCGCCAAGGGGCCTTGGGTTTCCACACCAACCTTGATCCTTGATGCTTGTGATCTGATCCATTTAGAAAAGCTGCAAATGGAATGAATGGCCCTTGGGAATGCTCATGGCAGGGATCGGGCACCTTTTACACAATCTATTTTCACATCACATTACCACCACCAAGCCCAAGAAGCCCTGGTGATGTGCACAATCCAAACGTCGCAAGTAGCCTTGGACGCGAATTCAGCTTGCGAAACCACGGGCTTTATCAATCCCATCCCGTTGTACTGGTTGGTTCATAGGTATCCCTATGTTTTTTTTTCATAATCCCCCAATAAACCAGGTAGTATAACTCACCTGTAATAATCAATCAACAGGGGTATTTTTAATTTGCCCAGACTATCTAATGATTATCCCCATTAAATCAGACCTCCATTTTAGCATGGTGACATCTCTGGTCTTGTTTTGGTTAAACCACCATGGTTGCTGGTTTAGTCACCATTTCTGATGCTTAAATCATCAACCACAACCACTTGTTGAACGCCCATGTGCTCGGTTGATCTCGGTTGTGCGAGCTGAGGTCGCAACTTTGGTCCACGAGTCTGGAGCCGTTGGAGCCATTCAGCGCCCATGACACTCCAAGTGCAGTCAGCATGCTGCAGCCTCAAGGATCCATGGCTGAAGTGGGGATATGTATATGTTAAAATAGTTGTGTATATATACATATATGATATATGTGATTCTATGTGCATGTTTGTGCCTACGGGTTGAAAACCGAACCAGCGTTTTGCATGTTTCTATGTCTTTCATGGGGTTAACGGGGTGGGGTGGGGTGGGGTGCGGTAATAACGTTCATTTGCACTGCCTGACATACATGATGCTACGCTGCTGTATGTCTTTTTGCACTTCCTCACATGCATGATGCTACGCTGCTGTACGTCTTCTTGCACGTCCTCACATACATGATGCTACGCTGCTGTACGTCGTCTTGCACTTCCTCACATATATGATGCTACGCTAGTGTACGTCGTCTTGCGCTTCTTCACATACATGATGCAACGCTACTGTCTGTCGTCTTGCACTTCCTCACATATATGATGCTACGTTAGTCTACGTTAGTCTTGCTCAATGGCAAGATTTGGACGCATGTTCGCGCTTGGCAGTGGAGATGGGAAAACAGTTCCCACAAAAACCTCTCCAAGCTCACTGCAGAAATTGTGAAGAACACTTAGCGCAGAAAAAAAGAGAGTGCCGCTGAGGTTTTTTTTACATATCCAGTGAAAAGTACGCGCGTACTTTTTAAGGAAATTGAACTTTGAGAGAGATGCAAAACCACTGTGATTTGTGGTATAAAATCAATGACGAACACTGCAAACGTTGAAAACGCGGGTTCGATAAACAACCCGCCGGGATGTTTGTGTAAATGTTTCTTGTAAATGCAGATGTATACATATACCAAAAGACGGATGTGTACTTGTATGCGTGTATATGGATACATGGGGGAACATGAGGATTTTCCATAAATTGTCTGGATATCAATTCAACCACCAAATGATATGTGATAATCCCTTCCACCTAAGATTTGATGCTCCAGAACATCTGGTTTCCCTTCCACCTGGCATTTAGTATACACCAGAACTCCTGGTTGTGTATTGGATGCTGTCATTTCGAAATTGGGTCCCATATGGGGGGAAATTGAAGCTAGGGGAATGGGATTATGCTTAGGGAACCCCAAGTTCACCCTTCAGATGGCTAGGTCGGCGCCCGCCCGATGCATAGTTTACCCCGAAACAAATAGAACAGTAAATTCTTAGTGAAACAAATGGATACTCACTGGTAATTCCACATAGCCATGGACAATTGCCCGTTTCAAGACTCTTCTTGAAATTTTACCTATTATGTACGTTGCCATGTTGCCATTTTCAATGGCAAACTGTTTCATGATTGATTACCAGAGAATGCTTCATGGTTAAAACAACATTTTGGATGCTTACATCACCCATAGCGAACTGCCCTTGCCATTTTGGATAAAACGTGATGATCAAACACCAAGGGACGATAGACCTGCCGCTCATCAGCTCAAAGCCCGCGGGTCTGCTCTGCCCGCAATCAACCATGGGGTCATGAATGGGACTGTAAGCCTACAAAAAGTGATGTCAAAGGATCCCAACAGTCACTAGTTTCTTTTCAGACCCTGCCTTCCAAACTGATTGATTTCTGGCAGCTTCACGTTTCCAAAATGATCTGGAAGGAAGACACGCGAGCTATAGTCTCACATGCGTGCACAATGGAAAAATAAAGGTGATCCTGTTGATGCGTCATAAACAATACCACCCTGGACCTCTAAATGTTGCAGAGGGAGCGGGAGGACTCCAGCCATGTCTACAACAAAGGGGTCTGGACACTCCAAAGCGTTCTGCAAGGGTCAAAATCATACCGAAGCATTCTCAAAAAGACACTTGGGCATGTGCCATCATGGGTTTATCCCTGCAAAAGGGCATGCCTTGCTAGCCACGTGAGGCATCACCGGAGCACCTACTCTTTCTATGAAACAGTGCCAACGTCTTCAAGTTCATGCTTCCAACAGTTTTCAAAAATCAGTTATCCTTCCGTGTAGAGATTCAGAATCAGAATGAAATTCACTTCAAACCAATGACTTGAGATAGGATTGTCATGGATCATTACCCATTTACATCTATTTACATCTATTTACATCGCACTCGCTCAACACCGCTACCCCCGTCCCCTGTGGAACCTCGTGGTCATAGTGGGCCAGCGGCGTGTTGAGTTGCAGTAGAGGCAACAAATGCCTTGGTCGCTGGATGTTCATATTTACAAATAGGTTTCCAAACTACAGTATGGGTTAGTTGATAATCCCAAATAACCCAGGTAGTATAACTTCCTACAATCACCTATTGGCCAGTGTGTTCTTAATAGCTCAAAGGGTTGGAAATCAAAACTGTTGAATATAGTGTAGGGATCCCCCTTCGAATTAAGTCATTACCCGTACTCCCTGGTTCTATAAGTATATATAAATGGGGAGTACACCCCCCCTCTATAAAATCCACAAACCTGATCAAAACGGCCCTTTATAGCATGTAGGAGTATGGGGTACTGACTTAATGCCACAATTTTGTGGAACCCCTTTGTAGAATCAGAACCACCATGTTCTGACATTTCTCAAGGGGGTCACTTGCACATGTTCCAAATTTGGTTTGTGAACCCTATGGAGGGAGAGGGGGCATACTCCAGCAGAATGAGGTTGAAGCCTTTAAG